CAAATAAAGTTAAAACCATTTATAATTTATAAAATAATTACAGAATAAAATGATTCTTTTGCAATTGTATTTTTAACTTTTAAGATAAAATATTTCCGTATCAGTTTATCATATCAGTTCACCACCAATAAAAATCCATAAATTATTTAATACTACATCATACTTTTATAATAACGATTATGTTTGTTTGTTTGTTTTCCTTTAATTTATTAAAAGAGAGAATTTTAAGTTTAGCTAAATTTAAATATAATTGTATTTATCAGTCGCATTATACTTTTATAATAACGATTATGTTTGTTTGTTTGTTTGTTTGTTTTCCTTTAATTTATTAAAAGAGAGAATTTTAAGTTTAGCTAAATTTAAATATAATTGTATTTAAGTTAATTTTGCTGATTAATTTTAATAATTTTGCTACTTCTAATTTGATATAACAAAAAAAAAAGAAGAAAAAAATGAAACATCAATTATTTATCAAGCAACAATGATAGCTAATTAACAGTTATCATCTGATCAAAAAAAAAAAGAATGCCACCAACTAATCAGTTAATAATGGATATTAGTTTATTAATATCAGCTAGCTGGTAAATAGTTGACAAAAATCTAATTGATCAGCAATTAGATAATTAACAGAAAGTATCAAGAGGTATTATTTGTTAATAGATTACTTGACAATTGCTGATCATTACCAACTAATTAGATGTTAGTAATCAGCAAATTATAGCAAGTTATTAAATAAATATTAAATATTAAATAATTAACTGGTAATTGTTAAGTAATCTATTAACGTCAGCTAGCTGGTAAATATCAATTATCCAAACAGATACCAATCGATCAGTCCATTGAATGAATGATTGATCAGTTAATATCACTTATTTAAGGCTGCTAATTAATCAGATACTAACGAATTAACATGTAAATACTAAACAATCAAACAGAAAATGTCAACCAATCAAATATTGAATATCAACTAATCAGCAAATGTCTGTTAATTACCACAATTAGCATTTATCTCTTTGTAAAATTTCGACGAAACTTATGTGATTATATTAGGAGAACTGTCGTATTTTACTTACAAATTTGCTAATTCGTCTAATTTAAGCATATCTTACGTCAAGAAATAATTTTGTTTAATTCATTACTGAATTAATATCATTTCATTTTCAATAAGTTTAATAAAATTTAACCAAATTTTTTTAGAGAAATAATTTACTAAACTATTTTGCATCCATTTCATTTCATTTCATTTCAACCACTCATTTAATTTTAATATTTCTTATTTTAGGATAAAATAAAGGATGAAAAAAAAAGGATAATGAATTAAATTATTCGGAGACAGTGACATAGCAGCAGCTTAATATAAAACATTATTACTAAATAACTTTTGTTATCTGATGAAAGTTTTTTTCGAAATTTTTTTTTTAAATATTTTAAAGCTAACATCTTTTGTATATGCTTCTTTTTAGGTTTCTTTTTTTATGTCACGTTAAATAAGAATAAATGACGTATTTCAAAAAAAAAAAGAAAGAAAAAGACTAAATAAAATCGAATAAAAAATCCTTATAAAAGAAAACAAATTTTGGGAATATTTATGAAATTTCTTGAGCTTTCATTTAATATTGGCAAAAATCTTTTCTCTTTTTTAAGAATTTTGTACTAGATTTTATTTACTTTCTTTTTTTTCCTATCCAATTAATTTTTGTCAACGAAAACTATCAATGATTTACTGAAAGCATTATTTTAATCTTGAAATGATGCTAAATAAAATTGAAACAAAATTTGCAAAATCTGTTCGTGAGATAATCATCGTACGAATTAGTTCCAAGTTTAATTCCAAGCTTATTAATTAAATTTTAGACTATTCAATTAACGGGTAATCAATTTGGAATAGATATATTAAATTTATTTTAACAAGAATGAAAATTCTTATTTAATAAAGTCTCCATAGTTATTTTTAATTTTTTTTTCTAATCATATTATGAGCATTATTTACTCACTATAACGACTCAACGCATAAATCTATTAATTTATTATTGATCATAATAAAATTGTTATTGATTTATTATTGATTACAGTATTGATTAAAATATTTATTATAACAATTTATTATTGATTATAATATTTGACTACAATTTATTATTGATATATGATTAACAATAAACGACAATTTCATGCTTCTCGGCAATTTCCTTTATTTACGCATTTAGGAATCAAATGTCAAAGCTTATTTTGAAGTGCTGAAAATTCAGAAAAGTGGAAATTTTAGGTCTCATTTTACCTTAGAAATTTTTGTATCAGCAAGTATTTAAAAAAAAAGGCACCTAATCAGAAACTCATTTCTTGATTTTTCACCAATTTTTTTTTTAAATTAACACTGCATAGATTAACACTTTCATTTGACACTGTTTACTAAAATTTTGTTAAAAAAAATAAACCTGTAAACTTCACTTATCATGATAATAATAGTAATAATCAGTCAAAAGAGATAATTATGACGATAAGAAAGAAGAATTATTATGATTACTTTTTCCTTTCTGATAATCTCTGATAAGAGAAAAAAAAAACAGTACACAAATTAAACATTCTGGATATGTTATACTCGTCAAATTTTTTCCCACTTTTTTCTTTTTTCTTTCATAGAAAAAAAAATTTCATTTTGACTTTATTTGCAAATAGTTGCTAATATTTACTTCCTTGAACTTTCGGTACATTGTAATTATCCAGCATTTTAACCATTCAGGAATGTAAATTCAACAAATTGCACACAAATTAAACATTCTGAAATCCTTTAATAATATGTATAGTGTAAAAGCAATGATGGATTAGTTGTCTTTTTTTTTTCTAAATTTTTATTCTTAAAAAACGATTTCTTCATTTTTATTTATTACTTAAAAAAAAGAGAAATAAATCAAATTATCTCTTCCTATGATCTTGAAAGAAATATGATATCAGTTGTCGCCGATATTCTTCAACCGTGACAAAAACTGAGGGTTCATTCTGCTTCTTTAGTTGGTAGTACCTCAAACTTGGGTAATTAAACCTTTATTACGATGAATTTATTAATATACAACAATGAACTTGCAACTACGACATCCATACAACAAATTAATAATGAAAACACTAAAAACAAAAGGACAAATTCACGCCCGACATTTATATCCAACTGACCTCAATGAAACACATTCGTAAAAATAGATTGGTGCTCAGAATTCTTCACTTCTTCGACTGGGAGGTCTTTGTACCGTTTTATGATTACAAGAATTAGCTTCCTTATAGAGCATCCATTGGTATCGTGTTCTTTGTTAGCGTAAACGTAAGACGATAAGAGCATATAAAACAAAGATGTCTGAGTTTCAAAAAAGAGGATTGTTGTCCCTTTGTCTCCACTCGCGATATCAGCGACACTAGTTATATCGATTATCTTCCATTAATCTTTCTTGTTTTTCCGGAAATATTAGGCTTATATTTTGATAAATGATAAAATGCCGTTTTTTTTTTTCGGTTAAAACTATAATTATTCGTATAGCCAATAGTTTGTAGTACTAAAATAATATTAAAATTAATCCTTCTTGCTAGAAATTCAATAGGTTTGTTTTGTAGGAAGTAAAATAGAAATTACTTCACAATATATTAATTAATGTTGAGTAGAAAAACGTCATTCAATTATTTTAAAATATTTGAAGAGAAATTATTCGAGAAATTTTTTCTTTAAATTATTTTTCTTTTTTTAAGAAAGGAAATCTTTTTTTTTTTGGCCTTTAAATTATTTTTTTCTTTTATGAAAGGTCATTGATTTGTTGCATGAATATGTTTGCTTGCATTTTTGACAGTTTCTTTCATTTCTTCTTTTCCATTTAAAAGAAAAAAAAAAAAAAAGGCAAAAAAATTTTTTCCAATATGACATTTTCTTTCATCAGTAAATTCAACCATAAAAATTGTAATCTTTTAAAATTTGAAAAAATTTGTTTTGCTCTTTCCAATTTGAAATTTCCTCTTCTAATTTTGTTACTTATTGTATTCAAAAGTATACGAAAGTTACATTTTACATTTAGAATGTATTTTCAATTTTTTTTTCTTCCCATTTACATTTGTTACAATTTTTGTTATTAATTTTGCTAGAAAAGAAGAATTTGTTGCTTTTAATTTTAGTTTGTTTTCTTTTTTGGTTTTAATTTTAGTTTGTTTTGTTTTTTAATTTTAATTTTAACTTCTTATTTTTTTAGTATTTAGTGTATAGATATTTATTTCTTGAAAAAATTTTTTAGCTTAATTATAAAAACAAGAAAAAAAACAACAAAATGATAATGGAATAATAATTTTAAAAAATTGAAAGATTTGTTTACGATTGCTTCATTTGATTTATTGCATCATGAAGATGGAATATAATTCAAATATTTCCAAATTTAAGCCTTCTTTTGAAAATTTAAAAAATCGAACATAAATCAAATATTTTGAAATTTTTAAATCAAAATATTTTATGTTTCAGTCATCAAATTAATGTATCTTGGCTTATTTGCAATATTTTCTATTAAATTATGCAAAGTGTAGGGAAAATTGATGCTGACATCATTCGATTTTAAATGAAAATGTTTGATAAATTAAATCACAAATTTACACTTGCTGCTCTTAGTCTTGATGATGTAAGTAATTTTATTTAATTTTCCTAATTTTCTTTGCCATCAAACTTTTTCAAATGCGTAATAAATTTAATTAAACAGATTTTAATCTGCATAATATTTATTTATTGCATACACGATTTAATTAGTAATTAGTGATTGAATGAAATTGAAAAAAAAAAAGCTTATTCTTAATTAACATATAGCTTATCTAATTAATTATCATTAGAGCATAAATAATATCAGCATTATTTATTAGAAGATTAATGCATGCTCATTATTGAATATTCCTGAAAAACCATGGCAAATATTTACTCGATTAATTTATGGCCATTTTTTCTTGGCTACAACATTATTTATTGTTGGAACACTTTGCTTTTGTCTTGGAATAGAATATAGCATTATGTATGATGAAGTAAATTGTACTGATGGTACTAATATCTGGATCCCATTACTTAATTTGGTTAGTAATTTTTTTTTTGCCTTAATTTTTTTCTTTTTTTTATAATGAAAACTTTTTACAAAAAAAAATTTTTATGAATAAATTATTCCATAAATATCTCATTTTATTCAATGTGTTATTGTCTTATTGATTGATAATTGATTGATATCATGATTGTTATCAATATCTTATTGATTGATAATTGATTGATATCATGATTGTTATCAATATCTTATTGATTAATAATTGTTAATGTAATAAGAGAGAGAAAAAAATTTTTTTTTGAATTAAAAAAGCAAATAATTTTGAAAACATTTTTGAAATTAAATTGATGATTTATGATTTATAATTTTGATAAATTTATAATTTTTGTAAATTGAATTATAAAAATTTTGATTTTTCTTTCCATTTTTTAGACGAAAATGGAAATAAAGCTAGTTAATTCATTGAAATGGCAAAACAATTTATGGTATTTAAGTAAAATTTTATTTCATTTAGATTGTTTCATTATCTGGCTTATTTATGCTTCGTACTCTACATTTACATTGGCCAGCTTTCATCTATTGTCTTGGCATATGCATTATGCTAATTATGATGCTTGCAACTATTGCTGATAATATTTTGGCTTCATTACGTTGGTTTCATGTAGCCTGGAATCCAGTTGATCAATGGGCTTCAACTTTTTCATGGATTGATATAAGTCTTGCTATTTTAGGTATATTAAACGGTAACGTTTTTAATTTTCTTTTTCATTTCATATTTATTTGCAACTAAAATAAATTTTATTCATTTAATTAATAATCATTCCAATCAGTCAATCAATATTGCTATCTTTCAACATTAAAACATTAAATATTATTCAAATTAGTGTTACAAATGTATGATATTACTCTTCTTTTTTATATATATAATCGTTATACTATCGTAATTTATGTAAATTAAAATATTTTACAGGAATTATATGTATATGCATTTTGGTACCATTTGCAAAGTATTGGCATCAACCAATAACAAGTAGTAATTGATGTCGGAATGTAAATAAATTTAATTTGTTCAAACGTTTTCTTTTCAATACAAAATTTTAATAAAATATTTTATATTTAATTGTATTTTGTAATTTGATACATTTTGCTTTCATAATTTTTTTTAATAGTTTAATTAATGATCAAAGCAATTGTTGGAAAATTAAAATTAAATTTAAAATTGGATATTGGATTTTTTTTTTAAATTTATAGATTTTGGATTTTTGATCATTAATTTTCTGGATTTTTTAAAATTAAATTTAAAATTGGATAATCAATTTATATGTTTTTTTTCGCTTGTAATATTAAAATATCACATTTAATAATACTGTAAAAATTTCTATTACAATTTTTCGCTTATTCAAATATTCATAAATTATCGAATTACAAATGCTCAATATTTGCATGTATAATATTCTCGTCATTTTCATACTTTTCATTTGCCTGACCTTTTGCTTGACCTTTTTTTTCTAGCCTTACCTTGATATTTTCATTTCTTCCAATCAATGGATTTAGCAGCAAGAATTACTTTTTGCAACATAATTTATTATGGGATCAATAATTTTGATATCATTCTCTATTATCGATAATAGATGTTTGAGTATCATTATGATTATCATGTTGACAGTTGTAATTTTCCTTGTATTCCTTCCTTTGCCTTTTATTCTGAACATCTGAAAGAGAAAAAAATTTTCTCAAAAAACTAATTAATTTAGATATTCAAATTAAAAGAGTGGAAGAAATATATAAAAGAAAGAAGAATGAATTAATTGGAATATAAAAGAATGCTAAATTTCTTGGAAAAATAAAAGTGAAATAATTGTTTAAATTTAATCTTTAATAATTAATATTATCCAAGAATAACTGATTTCTTCCTTTGTCTTTTTTTTTCCAATTGATATCTTTGATTAGATGAAATTAGTTCAATCTTCCAAATGTTATTTGATAAAATATGCAATTTACTTATCAATGTATTTATTTTGAACCAATAAAATTATTTGTAGATTAATTATATTTTTTTTATCATTTAATTGCGTTTTCTTATCACCCAATTATGTTTTTTATCACTTATTTTATCCAACTATTCAATTTATTTTTTCTGTCCAATTTTCTGTTCAATTTATTCAATCTTATTTTTTTATTCAACCTTTTTTTTTTCGTCGTCATAACTTTTTAACTTATCTAACCTAAAATTAATTCATAATTTCTATTTGTTGTCAAGTTTTACTAGCGTAAAGTACATTTTGATACGATGCATTCTAATAATTAGATAAATTGAACAATAAAGTATTAGCAATTTTTTTTGAGAATGATAAATAGATGATTTAAAAGGTTGCAATTTTTGCATCTTATCAAACATGCATGCATACTGCTTTGCAGGTACTACAAATAATTGCATTGATGTTTGCACAAAGCTTTTCAAACGAATAATTGTATTTATGCATTGCAATAATTGCAATAAATTTATATTTTATCAATGTAATGTGCTAGCAGTTTGCAGAATAATTATCAAAATTTTATGTTTGCTTTAATAATTAATGAACGCTAAAATTAATTATCGGTCTGGCTGAATTAAAAAGTAAGCTGGATTCTTAGCAATTTTCTGTATATCATAAAGCATAATAATAATAATAATAATAATAATAATAATTTATGACCCTCATTTGTTATGTTTTCCATCGTCATCGGTATAATATAATAATAATAATTAATAATAATAATAATAATAATAATAATAATAATAATAATAATAATAATAATAATAATAATAATAATAATAATAATAATAATAATAATAATAATAATAATAATAATAATAATAATAATAA